GGGGGAAGCTCAATTTCTTCTGTCTGATAATAGTTCAAAGTTCCACAAAATTATTAATCTTATTGTGGGATTTTAAAATATTTCTATTGTGTTAATGTGGTTTGAGTAAAAGGTGGGAGTATGTGAGAGTTTCGAGCAAAACCATCGAGAAGACCAGTACAAACCTGCTTTATTTGATAAACGCTTGTACGTCACAAATGTCTTTTATGGCACAGAGTCACAGGCAGACTGAGAAAAAAGGACGAGCTGATGGTTTCCTTGCAGACTGGATTTGCTTGGTTATTTATGTAAGCAAAAAAAAAAGAAGGTTATTTATCAATAAGTGTGATAAAGACTGATCCAATCAGGGGTTCTGATCTCCGTCTGTCAGATAAGAGACTCTACAGAATTCTGTTTGATGAAACAAAAAGGCTGTAGCCACTCCTCCTAGGTTATGACCAATTAGATGTATCCAGAGTGTAATCAACATGAAATATGAGTGCTGCAGTGAAACCAGGCCTCGAGCTGCTGTTTAAAATGCTGGCAGCAAATCTGTGGAAACTAAATAAAAAGCAGGCTAGTTAATACTTGCTGGATCACCTTGCAGGCAGCCATGCAGTTTCATCACTGTGGATGTTGGGACAAGCTGAACACAGATCACTGAATTTCTGCAAATTAGAAACACAAAAACACTGTTTACAGATGTCAGCGTGCCCATGAAATCTGTATTTGTTGAATGTTTTGTTTTTGACCGTGACAGTATTTTCGAACAATGACGTCAACAAAGGAACTGGGGGAGTTGCTCACAGAGTAAATATAATGCACTTCCAGAAAACATTTAAACTTGGAATGTGACTGATGTGTATAGGCGTGCATATTGCATCATCTCCTGTCAGTACTATATTTTTTTTACTGTCTCTTGTGTTTTTTTCTTGTCATTCTCTATGTCTCTTTCCTGACTTCTCTCTGTCTTTTTACTTGTGTTATACAGAGCTGTGGGTAAAACATGTCTTCTCATCAGTTACACAACCAATGCCTTCCCCGGAGAGTACATTCCTACTGTGTGAGTACTACAAACAAACATCTACACACACAGAAATACAGACATAAACACTTTAGCGGTCTCTCTGTGAGGCACCTACAGGTACATGCGCATGTCTTCATTGATCAGTTGTGCACTGTGTCAGGACACACGAACAAATATTATAGAGAAGATGCACACATGTGCTGCAGTCCATCTGGAGATGTCTGACTGTAACACAGGCAGGTTTGGGCTGGCAGCAGCCTGCAGGTTATTAAAACATATTTGTGGTTCAAAGCGTGTTTGATCAAAAGTCAGCTGCTTTCTGCACACGGTGAAAGAAAAGAGGAAAGAAGCGAGATGGGCTTTTCTTTTTTTAAAACATTAAATATCGCTGTGCACCTGAGGTCCTGACAGCGCTGGAATTGAAGAAGTCAAGTACTAGAGTGTTGTATGTCCATGCAACACAATAGTTTCGCTACATTTTGAATGGACATTTGAACAGCTTAATGTAAAATTCAGTTAAATACGAATCTAATATGTGAAGTATATTTAAATGCATTGTTTTTATATAAGCTAACCTTCTCCATAGTAAATGTTTAAAAAAAGATAACAATATTACTCGATTAGCAACTGTTTTTCAAATCCAATCTGATCCATTTTCCTATATACATTTATTCATTTTTATTTATTGACTATTTCCTGTTTATTGTAAATATTCTTGAGGTTTGGGCAATTGGTTTAAAACACTATACAACCTTTTTGGCTATTTTTGGCCATTAAGTCTCATTAATCACTTTGCTTGTTGTTTCTACAGTTTTATAAACCAAAATTAAAAGTTTTAATTGGCAAATTAATAATTAGTACAATCTATAATGTAAACAGTCAGAAATTTAAGCCCAACTTGGAATATGCAGGGCATTAGAATATTGAAAGAAATATTGAAAGAAATAAAATGAATATTTCTACAATGATCAGCACTTTTACTTCAGCAAAAAATTGAATGCTTCTTCGACCAGTGGGTGCTGGTGTCTACTTCAAACTTTCACATAAAATAAAAAAACAATAAAACCATATAAAGGAACACAGTCCATAAATATTACATGTAAGCCATATTAGAATGAAGGCAATAAAAGATCTAGGGAAGCATAATAAATTATTATTAGACAGGTTGTAATAAACCTCAGATCTTCAGTGATGTAATGCTGCACTCTGCAACATGAAGGACCAGAACTTCATAAAAATGACTATGAGTCATCACATTTACTTCTTCAGGTGCAACTATTTAGCAACATGTGAACCCACCGTATGTTAAACTGGAAGCTCAGAAATATAAACACCAACACTGAGAAATTAAACTGTTATGCTTCTTTGTGACCACACGAGGGCAGCCCTGCCTTATTATGTGTCATTGTCGTGTTGAGGCTGTGTGCAGGCAGTAGTGATGGCAAGGAGGACCCAATGTGCAGACACTCGGACCCAGAAAGTAAACTCAAACTCAGTTTTATTGCTAGATGGCAAACAGAGAACTGGCAAAACTGAGAATACAAAAACTAAACTGAAAATAACAACAAGCTGAACTGGCAGACGGACAGATAGAAAACACAGCATGAAATGAGGGTAGATCGCGACACAAGAACACTAAAACTCTAAAAAGAAAACACACAGAGAACCTAAACTAAGAATAATCCTATAAGCCATTAGGCAAAGCTAGAATATAATGAAATAAACAAAATCAAAGAGCCAAAAACACAAAACACTGGGTCGACGACCCAGGCACCCTAACAGTTATGCTCTTATACTAGACATGGTTAATATGACTTGTGTGTCAAACTAACCAAAGTAATGTTGTTGGTTGATGTTTTCGTGAACAGTGATATTTCAAGTATGGTTGTAGTTTTTTCCCCCATTACAGGAGTTTAACTGGTTAAACAATCAGTGAACTGAAGGATTGTTTAATTAATAAATAACCAATGAAATGAAAGGCTGCCTGAGACTGGTTGACCAATCGTTGACCTTCTCTTCTCTCCCCACAGATTCGACAATTATTCAGCTAATGTGATGGTGGACAGCAAGCCGGTCAACCTGGGCCTCTGGGATACAGCTGGACAGGAAGATTATGACAGGCTCCGCCCACTGTCCTACCCACAGACGGTACAGAATCACACATACACACACAAAGCACTCGTACAGCTCATTAGAACAAGGGGGTTTTAACATTATGTGTTGTACACAATGTGTATCATATGTACCACTTACTTTCATGCTTTTAGCCATGAGATAACTACGATAAACACACAACATGTGGTAGAGTAGCTGAAGTAGTTGTTTTACATTTAACCTGATCTTCTCCACAGTAGAAACGAAACATAATTTCATCCTTTCGAAATAAATATTTCAAGTCAGCACTTTGTCTTAAAAGTTATGATGAAATGAAACTGCATTCTCAAGGACATTTGAAAAAAACTTTGTCCCTAATAAAATAGCCGACTTTAATAGATCCAAAAAGTCCAAAACAGGAGTTACGCTTAGTTTTCAGTAAGGACACAGGGGTCTGAATCCAGTGTTAGACCATTTTTATTAGTTTCTTTATTAGTTATCATGAGTTATTAGTCAAGTTTATGACTTTATGACTTGCAGTTTAGTTTTGCAAGTTTCTGTTTATTTGGGTTTAGGCACTATGACTAATTGATTAGTTTTAGGTTAATATAGACCTTCTGTCAGTATTACAAAACATGCCAAAAGTGATGAGTGTTGCTCAGTCTGATATCTGCCCAGATGTCTGAAAAGAAGAAACAGTAGAAAAATCAAGAAAATACATGGAAAACATGTTGTTTATTGTAAATATAAATGTTAGAAATGTTATAATAAATATAAACAAATGCAAGCAAGATATGCTTCCTTCCAGATGTAATGTGGAAAGCTTTTCAATTTTGTGAGAACTCAACTTTTAGAGATTGGCAAGAAGTAATGGACATAAAGTTACACAGACAGAACTTGTATAACATGTCAGCTAATTAAAACTGCAGCAGCTATTCTAATTCTTTGTCTCCTTGTCTCTCCATCCAGGATGTTTTCCTAATCTGCTTCTCCCTGGTTAGCCCGGCATCCTATGAGAACGTCAGAGCTAAGGTGAGTTTTGGCTGTTTTTTATGAGGCCTGTCTCTCAGCTGCCGAGGAACAAAATGTAAAAAGGAACAAAAGGAACAGAAATATGCAAATTTCTAACTGTGTTTTATTAAAACTTCCACAGTTGGTTAAATATTAGCATGGTAAGACGCTGAAAATAAAGTGACTTAAAGAAACAGCAGTAGATCTCATCAGGCAATACCCCAAAACTCCATGGAAATAGCTGCTTTGTGAGCAAGATACTCCACAACACAGATTTACCAGTCATAGCCCACAACAATCACTGGCTTGTGGTTTACCTGAGAAAATAAGAGGGAGGAGAAAAATAGTAATTTATTATAGAGAAAAATAATAGGTACTTGGATAAAGAAATGGAGGAAAAACCCAAACAGATCTGAAAATAAATATGAATGAATGATTGATGCTGTGGGTGAAAGTTGGATGATGTATTTCTCTCATCTTTAATAGCTACAGCATATCATTTGTT